GGTTTTGAAACACCTCTCAGTACAAATTAAACCAGTAATTTTGTTTTTTTAGCAGTATGGAAGTTATTTTCTCAAACGTTGAGAGGAGAAGTCAAATTGTAATGGTTCTGCTGATGAAAATATGCTATTCAAGAAAAAAAATTGTATAAGGGAGGTTTTGGACAGTTTAGCTCAGCAGTTTTAATTGTCGGATTTCAAGAGGTGGTTTCGGTAAAGTCGCTGAAGTTCTACAGAAACGAAGAGCAAACCAGCCAGTTTACGAGCTTTTTGCATCAATCTTTAAAGAGTCAGTGACTATTCAAAACTTGTGTCCCTGGAGAGTGCTTGTTTTCTGTAAATAGCAAGGAATGTAGGGAAAGCATTCCACACGACGTGAATTGGGGTGGAGATGCTCGAAGAATTTTTTGAAATATGAAATGGATCATATTAGCTTGGCTACTCTTCTCTTTTCATTTTATATATGCTAGATTGAGTTCTTCATCATTTACAACAGCAGAACTTTTTAACGAGGGAAAGTTTGAAGATCAGGGTTTATAACGACAATTTTCATCAAGAGGAAGTGAAATTCTTCATGTATCTAGTATGTAGCCAATCGCTCATTTTTGCTCTTCAAGCTGTTGGATCTATACAAAATTCAAATAAGTAATAGGATTAGTTGTACTTACTTACCGCATATAAGCGCTCTTTCTTTTTCCGAAACGCATATAAGCTGACTTGCGTTTTTCCATATCTAGGCTATCCTCATCTGGAACCTCTGATCGTTTTCCGAACCTTAAAAAATTTGTAAGAAATAGTGAAAATAGCAATTATGCACAACTCTAGTAGAGTAGAGAAACCGATTTTTGGGAAAATTATTTTGTGGATAAGATAAGAGAAGCCATAAAACATCGCTACAGTTGTAATCCTATTATGCCTTTTCTGAACTAATCTCTTAGCTTATAACTTCGCTCAAAAGAAGAAGTTTGAATATGATGTAAAAACCATTCCTGACCTCATATAGGCGCTCTTCCTCTTTTCTAACAACAATTGATCGGTCAGCTCTGGATCCGATCTACCGAAACGCATATACGCTGACTTGCGTTTCTCCATTCCTAAAAAACTGGAATACATGGTAATAAGTTACCAAGCACGCTGCAGACCTTTTTGAGAGGATTTTTTTGACTTTTTTGAAGTCCAAGTCTATACTATCTTAAAAGTAATTTTGAATGACTTTATTCATTTGAGGCAGCGATAGTAAATCATGTCATCTGCATAGATTATTCCATAATTTTAAAGATTTTGTTTGCATGCTAATCCAATCGGTTAAAAAAACAGTTTATGTCTGTTAGATTATTACCTGAGAACTGGTCATCCGGCTGAAATGCATACGCAACGGCGAAGGTGAGGAGGAAGGCAGCTACAACCGTTCGATTCATATCCAAGCTGAAAAAAAAGGTGGAGGTTCCTACGAATAAGGTAAATACGAACAAAACCGACAAAACCAGCGATCGAGAATTGAAACTGCACGAAGAAAAGTATGGAATAAGTTCATCATAAGGAAAATCTTATTTCTGATTGTGAGATCCATCGTTTCACTGCAAGACCGACAGTGTAGGGAAGGGGAAGGATAAGAAGAGGATTTTAACCTTATAGACTTGATAGGATTGATGTGCAAAGACATTGGTGACGATAGCCTAATGTAGTGAGTGA